AAATCGAAGATACTTCGAAGGAAACGTATGCAAAGTTGAAGACACTCCTCGAAGAATTGAGAGAGCAAAACTCATACTTGAACTTGTTCTGGGGTTTTGGATCGTAAATCGATGAGCCGCAGGGGATGAGAACCTCTTCTACATCGTTTGGGAAGATGTTTTTTATTTTATTCATACTGTATTCACTCTAATTAGAGTATGACAGAACCCACTTTCCCCTCCGCCTCCGGACGAGCTGGCTAGGTGGTGGAGATCCCCTGCATCTACCCTTTCTTCCCCTCTGACAAAGAAAATGTAAAAGATTGGCCGCTCCCAAAACAAGCAAACACAAGGAAAGGAAAAGAAAAGGGAGCAACTTTGGGAAGATGATCCCATGGCCGGCGGAACCTCAGCCACAACCGTTGGTTTAACCCACGATCTCTATGGGCTTTTATCGTTGCAGTTTTTAATGGTCTTTCTCCTCATCCGGCTATGTCGGAATTAAAAAAAAAACGAAAACCTAATCACTTGGCTCAAGTGATTGTGAAATTGGAACGAAATGGAAAAGAATGTGGTATTGAAGATTGCGTAGTGAGCATATTCTTCTCGAAGGACCGGTGCCTTCCTACCTAGCTATGTGGAGACAGTCGCTGTAAGTACACTGAGAACCTTATTCACCACTCATCACTAACATTCTGCAGCTCGTTAACTAGGCTAGGCACGATTGTTCCAATCTATGCCTCGACTATCCGCAACTCAATCAACATGGCAGAATCAGATAGTTCTCTGGGAAAACAGCAGAGGAATTGCTGATTCTGGGGCAGTAGCTGATCCTAGCATTTTGGAGCCACTTCCGGAGACTAGGAGTGGTTTACTAGCTAGCGGGTTAGCCGCTACTTTACGAGGTGCTACAGAATCCCGATCGCAGTCGGCTGGCAGAACGACATGAGAGCCTCTAATCAACTCAAGGTGCAGCTGAAATCTGCGTATAAAATCATCAAGCAAAATAAAATGAAGGTAGAGATATATATAAGCTGTGTCGAAATACTGGGTTCGGCTTGACCCCCGAGCTGCCTCCACGATGACGATTGTGTCAAACAATCCAGGGTGACTGGAAGATTAGTTTGTGGTAGCAGCAGCACACCGGAAGACACGCCTCCCTAGCCCGCTATCGAACCAATTACTCCATCGCCGCCGCCGCCGCCGAACCTCCTCGTCATCCGTTCCGCGCCACACCTTCGCTTTCTCACAACTCACAATTCCTCGTCCAAAACCTCCCCTCCCACAACTTTCCTACCCCGACCGCCATCAAAGTCATCGTCTGGATAAACTATACCTTCGAAATCTCCGAGGAAGAGCTTCACGCTACTGCCCGCGACGGTGGGGACGCTTTTGAGCTGTTTAGGGCGCCGGGAGAGACATTAAAGGCGACTTCAACCCGACAATGGATATACAATCACACGCCACCTAACAGCCGTCCAAGCGCACGGAGCTGTTGACTTCAAGCACTGGCAGTCTGGCAAGGCCTCAAACGGGATCCCCCATTCATCTCACCCAAGGAATTCCTTCAGGCCTGGTGGTTCATCGAATCACACACCTCCAAAAACCATATCCGACGTCACTTCAACGAAGGCAGCTATAAGATCCCTGAGCGATTCTCATACTCTTCCGGCAAAACTATATACAAAAACCTTTCCTAGATGGAGGAACGATTGCCATGCTGGAGAGAGAAAATCTTAGAGATATCCCACAAGAAGCGCACATTCTACTTCCGAGATATCATGGAATGCGCGAGGTATATCCTGAAGCAACGATGTTACAGACCCCACACGGTATATGCACCATTCCGGGAGAAACCCCCTGAGGATTTAAGGGCTTACTTAGAGATGAAATAAGCCGACTGGTGATGGGATATCCAAGACAGAATCCCTCCTGTGGACGCAGTCATTCTCTCATATGCAGCTATGACGAAACACACCTTACCAGTCAGTCCAGAGACATGAAAGGTTATCAAGGAGCAGAAGGGGAGCAAGCAGGGGGAGAAGAGCGGAAGGGAGACGACCAGAAGGAGGGACTGGAGGGCACCTAAGAGAGTGGGGGACCTCCGGAAACCTGTCCAGCGAACTGGCTCAGGGTACAGGCTACAGTAAGCCCACCCAACCTATGAAAATGAGAGTGTATGGAAATCGTGCTTATATGTCTAGCAGCTCGAAAAGAGGAGGAGGTACCTGTAAAGAGGTTACTCCGTCAGCCGCTCAAATTCTGACAACAACCAACAATCCCCGCCCTCTCTAGTCATCCCATCCAGCCCCGCGGCCGCTCCTCCTCTATAAGCAGCAACTTCGCCATCCCCGTTCCAACCCTGACCCTCCCGTGCCCCCGCGAAACCTCCGAGCAGGTGAAGATTTAGCACCCGCTTGATACGGCGCATATGATTTTGTAATCATACGGCTCTCCGGGGCGTGGGGGCTGTATAATCCCGGCAGAAAAAGAACAGACGGTACGGAGTAAAATTTGTACTGACAAAACAAGGTGAATGAAATCAATTCAGAGTGGTGGAAGGTTGCGGTGGCCAGGCTTATAGCCTGACTTGCATATGGGAATGTCTATGAAGATTGATTTGGAACAGTGTCGTTCAGCAGATTATTACATTGAAACTTATCATCTCAAGCCCACCAGATTAGTATGCATGTAATTGAGTAGAGGCTCAGGGGATTAAACCTATAAAGTCTTTTCAATGATTTGATAGAACAGCTGTTGCTGACAGATAGTTATGATGGTAATTTGTTCACTGTGAGGTCCGTGATCTTATCCTTGTCCTATATTGCTCTTGTCTTGTTATTAATCATAACTTGAGATATTCCCTCGTTTTCATGGGCAAGTGCACTACCGGGTATTCGAGTTGTGGAAATATTTCTGCTTGCCTCACTCAATCACTCGAACTCCATGCCAGATGCCAATAAATACACTGAATTAACTCCAACCTCAAGAACTTTGCACTTTAACTGCCGGTACCAGAACCACCCTCAGCTGCTAAAAACACAACTCACCGTCCACGAACTGGACCCAAGATCGTGACCAGTCGTAGTAGCGGCACAACAGCTAATCGCAATGATTTCCATTGCTGACTACATGTAATCGCTAGTCGGAAGGGATGTTCTTGAAATCACAGAACCGGTAGTCGTGAGTAATGCTTCACTGGTAATACGCGGCATCGCTGGGGGTGACAAATATATATGTTCTGAAGTCACTACTACTGCTTACTTAAAGTACTGGTACTATCTATCACCCGTCAACTCGAACTACAGCGCTGGAGTTAACGAATTGCTTCTAAATCGTCACCAATAAGCTCCTTCATCAAGAACGATTTACACACCCCAAGAAACCTACTAAAGATGCTACACCGATTAGTTAAACATGGAGTTAATGGATCAAAAATAAAAATAAAAGAAACAGAAAAAAAATGACCCCGACGCGATTTGAACGCGCAACCTTCTGGACTGGAATCAGATGCGCTACCCTTGCGCCACGGAGTCCTACTTTCATACCGTTATGTCTCAGTTACCAAATATAAATGTAATTTGACAGTGAAATTGAGATTAAAAACGGAGGTAGAGGTAGTGAAGGTAGATGTGGAGGAGGAGGAGGAGGTGGTGGTGATGATACTGGTCCGGAGAGTTTGATGTTGTCGAGAACTAGGTACTCATCAGATTCTCAAGTCTCCGAACACCCCAGTCATTGATTAGATGACTCTGATAAGATTAGATAAATCCGAGATCTCACTACCTGTCATAGTGTCCTGGGGCCTGAATCACCATGCATTTAATGGTGGAGTGGCAGAGTACTTGTTTCTTGACTTCATTTCTTCTTGCATTTGGTTTTGGCTTTATTGTCATTTCAACTTTGATGTGTAGTCATGGTAATTTTGATGAATAGTCATTGTAAATCGATGTATTGCCAAGGGCGCTTAAAATGAAGTGTCCGGAGACTTGAAAATTCGACGAGTAGGGTATTGTTTTTTCTTCGTCTCTATCTGCTTTACTAGATGATCCTCGTTAGATTTACCAACACATTGAAGAAAACTTAAAAGATTCCCCGACGGGGTTCTGTATCGTCAGGAAAAGAAAAGCAATTTCATTCCCTCTCTCTCTCTCTCTGCAAGACTGCATGTTTGTAGGACGGACTAGATTGAAAGGCTCTCCACCAATGCTGCAACATGGGTTGACATACCTATCAATACAGCCGTCAATAACGCCGAACCACTCAAATCATCATGAGAACAGCTTTCTCATCAAAGTCTACGAAATCGTTATTAACATCAATCAGTTAGTAGTTACCCTGTAGCAATCCGGCCTCTTTCTGCGGGTGATCTCGCGGTTGAAACTGCTTCTTTTTTGTCGTTGGGTAGGCAGTCCTAGAAACTATTCGATTATCAGCAGTCCATTGGTGGTGTATTCATGTCAGGAGTCCCATGCGTCGGGCTGATTGGGAGTGGAAGGAATTGTCAGTGGTTGATATAGTACGAATAACCTTATGTCCAAGGTAGGTAGGTGTTAGCTTAAGAACAGTCTAGGGATATAAGTTCTGGTTCGGCAGAAGAGAGCTCCGACCGACTTGCCCGTGTGCCGTGAAGCGGCTGCTCATCGAAGTCTTCGTTTTGGTAGTAGAAACCACCCGGTTACTTCAGAATCTAGTTGGCCTGTCAAGTTATCCAAATGAAAGGGAAGAGTTTTAGGAAACCCGGCTCGCGTGGACTTTGTGTTGGGCGAAAACGTCGCCAGAGCGCCATAAATCCTGGATGACATGTACAAAGCCAGATTCATTCCCACTGGCAGGGTGGCGATGACGATGCGGAGATTTATTATCGAGTCTTTACGCTACTCAAGGATCCTATGATGACAGTGTCAGTATAGCAACCGAGATACACCACCTACTTGGTACATAGGACAAAGATCGGGGAAACAACTCTACTGCTAATCCCACTAGCGTTCGCCAAATCGCAGCAAAATAAAAAGAAATACTGACAGGAGTGGGACTTGAACCCCCCGAACCAGGAGTTTGTGTTAAGACTATTAACCCTAACCTGGCGCCATAACCAACTCGGCCATCCTGCCGTTGATGTTTGGTATGGGTTTTTTAATACTTGGGGAGCTTTGGAATGTTGAAATACGGAGGTAAGAGATAAAAAAGGTAGCGAAACTGAACTTTGGAACTCATAAATGTAATTACGAACATTGACAGGTGGGAAGGTATCTGGTTAAACAGCCGTTTGAGCGTCAGAACAATACCGGTCAGGTCAATGGTGATACTCAAGAACATGTGATCGGCATTGCATTCTTCAACGGTGCCTCAGTATCTCCTACGGGATCCTGCATCTCACCACGATAACGGCAGCTCCCGCCATGAGGCAAGTTCAGACGAACGGTGTTGAGCCGCAAGTACAGCATTTCTAGCCTAGTCGCCGCGTTCAGAACTGATTTCAGTTTGCAATACGCACGGGTTCCAAAATCCAGTACTGGTTCCGGCTGCACTCGGCTCCCAGCTGCTCTCGATGCCATACGCCCAGCTATACTCAACTCCTCCCATCTGCGGTCAACTCAAATCAGCGCTCAGTGCTATGCGCCTAGCTGCACTCAACTCCCAGCTGCACTCGCACCAGCTTTTGATGGATTTGGCTTCAGCGCACCAAAATTAGTCACCGCTTCACAACAGTATGGTATATTCGCGACCTGAGAACGCGAGCATTTAGAGCACATCGAGTAGATCATTTAACGTTGACAGGCATCTTAATCGGAAAAATATTCGTGGAGTTGGCTTGAGTGGATGCTGGAGTTGATACAATTCACCCATTGTAATACGACAGTTCGAAATCCAGAAGCTGGTCAACGTTGCCGCAAGAAGAACCACTGGAATGTTCAAGTCGTCACCTACAGTCCCGCTTGTCAAGGAGGCAGGATTAAGACCGGCAATATCGCTTCTCAACAACAGAGTCAGACGGTTTGCCAAAAGATTATCGGAAATGCCAGGGGGAAGGGGTGGAGGAGAGTGCATGGAAGGGAACAGCAAACTGGCATCAAGATTAAGAAAGTCGATCGGGATAGAAGGGAAGGGAGAACAGAACACCCTACCGGAATTTGATCTGAAAGCTGACGCAAAGGTGTTCATCCTGGACAAGAAAGAGGCTCTCAAGTACGCGCATACTAGGGAGGAAGGGCTCATTCTGTGGACAGATGGATCAAGACTTGAGAACGAGCAAACAGGTAGCGCAGTGGTATGGAAAGAAGAGGAGGAATGGAGAAGCGAGAAGAGCTACCTAGGAAAGGAGAAAGAAGTTTTTGACACCGAAGTTTACGCCATCTTAAGGGCCTTACTCAAAGCAGTCGAAACCAGCAAAACAAAGGAAATGGAAAAGATCACCATCTTCTCCGACTCAACAACAGCCATCCAAAGAGTCCAACACATGCAGTTAGGACCAGGACAAACAATGGCGATCGACTGTGTTAAATTCAACAACATGTTAGCGGGACAGGGTGCTCAGTTGGAGTACAGGTGGGTTCCGTCTCATCAGGGTGTTGAAGGCAACGAGAAGGCAGATGAAGCAGCAAAGGCAGCGGCAGAAAACGCAGATGGAGAAGCGCTGGAGCCGAGAGAAAAATACAGAGGATGGTCTATGGCCAGGGTACAGAGAAAGGTTACCGAGGCCAAATGGCAAGACACAGAAAAGTGGTGGAAGGCCAAGTTCAACAGCAAAAAGTCAGTCTATAGAATGAATAAAAAGAGGAGGATGCATATGCTGTTGGGGGAGGCCAAAAAGAAAATAGCGGGAAGGTACTTTCAGTTGAAGGTGGGTCACGCCCTCACTGGAGTGTTTCTGGAACGCATAAAAAAGAATGAAAGTCAGGAGTGCTGGTGGTGCGGACACAAAAGACAAACAAGGCACCACTTGTTTAAGTGGTGCAAAAGTGTTAGGGGGATACTGCAGCTAGATGTGATTTAGTGGTTTATCGATATCGTTGGTTTGTCTCTTGGTAAATGCGTATTTTAATAATGATGACAAAACCAAAGATATGGAATTCTAGCGTGACGCATTTACGTCGTTGTAAGGTATGTATAAATACGGGCATCTATTGCAGTATGGCCCTGTGTTTAAAAGTCGTAACTGTCTTGGAGGTAATCCTCTGATGACTCGTCAAAGATGACTTGGGAAGGAAGTTCACCGGTATGGAAGTAGTGGTAGTATTCTTCCCAAAGGTTGTGACGAACAAGGTATCGTGCGAGGTGTTCGTATTTGGCTCGAGTGTTAGCTTGGGCGTGCAAGATGCGAGCGAAGAGAATCTTCTGGTCGTTTGAAATAGACATAAAAGTTTTGGTGAATATTCTTAAGGTATTTAATTTAATAATATTTCAGGTGGTTTTCCGCTGTTGTGTTCTGACTGTGGTTTGTTCGACTGTTGCTTGAATCGTTGTGTTTAAACTCGTGGGTTTAAGGTGGTCTTTTATAGATGAGTATTTCCGCATCAAACCATCCTGCTAAGGGGTGACGGTACTTCTCTGTAATCTATGATGTGTGTGTATAGTACTATCTCAGAAACACTCAGTCCACCGTAGTGGGTGTTCACATAACATCTGATCGTTGCTTCAGAGCCGATCTCGGTAGTTAGCTGTGGAGAGTTCCGTTTGACAACGTGTGGTTGCATAAGCCCCCACCAGGAGTTCCCAAAGGTTATCCTGCATGTTATGACGTTGCTGACATACATATCGGACCATTACTTCGTATTAGTTATCTTTCTTCGTATTGAGTGGAATAGTGATCAATGATTTAATGAGCTGCCAACCCATACATTGCCACGTACCTAGTGTCATCGGGTCTTATCCGTGTTCCCCGTAGGGGGTGCCCTCTCTCAGTTATCGTGTTGTAAACACGGCAGAGCTGGGTTTCGACAGTCTAGATCCAAGCACTTATCTTTTAAGTAGAGTTAACTACCGGGGCGCAGTTAGCTTATCTCCTTTGCTTATTCTAGCTCTAGAGATAGCAAAGTCCCGCATACTAAGATAATATCGCTTGTCCAACCAAATCCATGAAGCTAAGCACGGGTATGGTTTGTCCCAGTATTAGCATGATAACGAAGATAACACTGGTCTGATCCGTAACGCACAGCTGATCCGAAGACCCCTGCTTGGCAGTTACATTGCTTCGGCAGTATGGTTGGTGTGTCCCATGCCTTGGCCAATACTATGGGTTTTTTACTCCCAAGATTACTGTCTGATCGAGTGTGCGTACTGTCTCCACACTGGGTAGCTATTCCCTATGCTGAGACGCAGTATTGTAGCATAGACTATTATGGGGATTTCACCCGGCTATGTTGAGCCGTCTGCTAACTCATCAGTAGACATCCTCAGGGGTGTGATCTTAACCGTTGATTCATCTTTGAATAACGGCAAGCCTGGGAGACTAAGCCTGATGTACTTCATACGCATGCTAAGGGGAAACCCCTAACAAAAAGATGGAAGCGACAGCAGGATGACCTTTGGAGACGGTTGAAGAAAAAGTGTGGGTGGCAGGAGAAAATAAAGGTTCCTATGTCCCAGGTGTTCGACACAGACAAGGCGGTCAAAGCGGTGCTGAAGTTCCTTCGGGATACGGAAGTAGGAAAGGTCACGGGGACGAGGGAGGGAGCTTGGGCAGAAGGGTAGAGGAGGGTGGAAAATGTAGTTAAGAAAAGTTATTCCTTTGTTTTTTTTCTTCTTTTGTCCGGCGGAATATGGGGAGAAGGAGACAGGAAACGTACGACTTGGACCCAAGAGGGCTGCGGGGACACCCAATGCTCACACTGGGGATGTGCGGTGGAAAAGGTTCTAGAATATGTCATGGCCGCAAGCGGCCGAATACAATATGATTCAAACAAACAAACCCATTGTAATACAGTTAGGCGACAATAAAACACGAATGACAGAAAAGCAACCATTTGCACCACATCAAATGCTCCAGGGCAATAAATATCTTCTCTAACACCTAATGTTATATTCACAGTCTTGCATGTCCTTGATCAGGTTGACATTAGAGTTTGTGGAAATAGTTTGGTACCAAAAACATTTAATTTGGCGAGTTATTTATTGAAAAGATGACTCAAAAGATTCCTTGTCATTGAATTTTGATGAGTTGTCGATCACTTCTAATTGTGAACTCTTCCCATTAGTCATTTCACGTTGTTTTGTCGCCCGACCATAACTATGCACCACCCATGTTAACTTCATGCATATTTCTCTGATTAAGGTGAGTTTTTGGACGTCAAATAATCTACTTGATAAGCTCTAACTGCTCGTCTTCTCAGACCCAGCATCCGCCCAGCCGTTCTGAAGCGGTGGCCAAATTCATGTTTTGGGAGCGGTGGGTCAAATGCAACAGTGAAAAGTGGACTTATGCAAGATTTGACTACGCAGGCATGTTGTATTCATTAGTTAGGCCATTTGATATCAAACAAGCATCTTAATCGGATGAATATTGATAAAGTTGGCATAAGTAGATGATGCAGTTGATGGAATCCCCTTGGTAAACTATCCATCCACCCATGCCAACTTCTTTAATATTCCTCCAATCAACACATTTGTTAACTCCAAATAATTTAATCAATAAGCTCTAAATGCTCCAGTTTGCGGATCGCGAATCCACCAAGCCGTTCTGAAGCTGTGGCCAAATTCCTGTTTTACACCCGGCAAACATTTCCGAGAGCTTCCTCTTGAGTGCAGCTGGGAGCATGCCATCGAAAGGCAGCTGGGAGTCGAGCGCAGCTGGAGGCATGCCATCGAGCGTAACTGGGAGTCGAGCGTACCTGGAGCATGTACTCGAGAGAATAGAGCTGAGCACAGCTAGGCATTGAGCGTAGCTAGAAGTCGAGCGCAGCTTGGAGTCGAGCACAGATAGCAATACGACATCGAGTGCGACTGGGAGCCGAACGCAGCCACGAGCGAAGTACTGGATTTCAGTACGAGATGTGTTTGGTACACTGAAATACAGAAACTTAATGCACGTTGACGATGTTGACGGTAGCACAGCGCCGTAGCGCCGTATTTTAACAAAGACAGGGCACCATAACCGTGTCAATGGAATTAGCAA